ATGGTTGATCAATCTACGAACTATAAAATTTAAACTTTGAATTTGTGAAAAAACTAATTTGTTAAGTTTCAGGGATCCCTGAGGATTCTTAAAGTACGTGCTTGAAAATATATATATTGATAACTAGTTTCGACTTTTGTTACATATTGGTTACGTATTAGATTGACGAAATACCATGACTTTTTTTATAAGAAGGCCAATTATATTTTGGGGGATGATCGTAGACTATTCTAGAAATGATCTACAAATTTTCAATAATCCCCGACTGAACTAAGAACAAAAGCTATAAAATATTGATTAACAAGATATATATTTTATTATAGTAATAACTTTGTGCACTAATTAAGACTGATATTACTAACCTATTTTTCTAGAAAGTATTTAAAACATAGCAATTAAAATTAAGGTTAGGGTTAGTTTAATTAGTGCTTCAAGATAGGTTTAGACACTTATTTCTTGTATTCTTTGGTTTTTTCTTTTTTTTGCTTTGTAAAAATTTACAATGTGATTGGCTAATTTATACAGATCTTTCAAAAAGAAAATCAAAAAATGGGTTGGTAATATTAATCATTAATTAATATAAAATTTCATAAAATTTTATTTTTTTATTTTAATTCTAATTTTAACTTTAAATTTCAGTTCTTTAAATAAATATACTGTATTTGCAAGTAATATGTTAGTAGGTTGGGGATTCAAAACCTATCAATGATAAAAATTCAAATATTTTGCTTGTATAAGAAGATCTTTGTAACTTTGATAGTACTAACAAGATTGAAAAATTATGAAGCATTTATGTAATATATATGTTATATATACAATATATAAGTTATATAAAGATATACAAGCTGGTATTAGTTAGTGCAACCCAAGATAAGATCTTGTGATTATATAAATCCAGAGAATTTGAAAAATAGACATCTGCTTAGCAAGACTCAAGTAGAGAGATAATATAAATCTTAGACTAAAATAGATTTCATCTAAGGCTGGTATAACTGAATGAAAATTAAGTATTTAGAGAGAAAGCACTTCACCAACCGGGCTACCAGAACACTAAAGAAAAAGTATTTGCAATACAGATACCAAATGACTGGTATCTCTTTTAGGCTAACTGAATTGGTAGTTTAAAAAGATCAGCTAGAAAATACTGAAAGGGAAGATATTAGGTTATCTTGAAAAGAAAATACTAAAGTTTGAGTAAATTCTACAAAAGCTAAGTAAATAATAGTAACAGCTTCAGCTTACAAGTATCTATCCTCAGACTCAGTATAATTTATCAAAAAAGACTAGATATTACAGTAATAATAAATATTAACTGCTCTAGTAGATGATGTATTTAAAAATGAATCAATTAACTATGTCAATAGTTCTATAAATAGTTCATGATAATTTTAGGTTGTAAAATAACTAATATACCTTATGGTTCCAAGTGAGATTAACCAGATTAGCATAGAAAACTCAGATTAGAGAGTTTAAATAAAGGATCTACAGACAAATTTTAGATATAATATATAGAGGATAACTATAAATAGAAATAGATATAACAGAATCCATAAATAAACAATGACTAAAATTGTATATATATTTATTGTTTGGAGTGAAACAGAGGACTTACATGTTTATACACTTTGATAACTGAAATTATAATTTTGATGCATCTATAATGATAATATCAAAAATATAGTTTTGGCATTTTCTATTTATAACTCCTCTGAAAATTTTGGTCTGTGATATACATGACCAGATTTTCAGAGGTTAGACCATTAATTGAATGCTGTTATAGGCTCTGAACTTATACCAGTTTCTGGTTTCTAATATATATCTTTGTCAAAATGTACTTGTCAAGAGCCTCTTAAAAAGAATACTACATAATTCTATACAACTAATAAAAACAATAAACCAAAGAGACTAACCTTGACTACAAAAAAAATTATTAAAATTATTTTTATAATATATATTATAAAAGATCTTTTTTAAAAAATAACTAGTCATCTAATTAAATGATCTTTTTTTATTTTGTAAGCTTATTTAGTTTTACAAAATAAAAAAAGTTTATTCAAATTGGATAACTAAATGGTTGATAAATTTAATTCTTATTTACAAAATTAATATAACCTTGAAGGATTATTTTCTTGACAAAGATTCTATATATTTTATATATATAATAAATATAAAATATTATATAACTATATACTAAGAACTGGAAACCAGTATAAGTTTGAAGCATAAGTATCATATATTTTTAAAAATAAATTATTTTTTAAAATAATTCAAATTAAAAATAATTTTTTTAATTAATTTATAATAAGTTTATATAATAAAGTCAAATTTTTACTAAGTAAATCAATTATGTCTATTAAGTGAAAATTGTTCAGAAGATCAAATTACATATATCCTGAAATTTTTATATAATTATGATAATTTTTATTATGATTTTACTTTTTATTGTTATTAAATAAAAAATTAAAAAAAAATTTTAATTGATTTTGTAAATATAAATTGCAAAAACATATTAGTAAAAAGTTATCAGATTTGTATAAAAATTTCAAGATATATGTATCTTGATTTCCTGAACAATTTTACTTAATAGATATAATCGATTTACTTAGTAAAATTTTAACTTTACTATATAAAAACAAAGTGTGACATCCAGAAAATGCCAAAACTACTTTAATATAAATGCATCAAAAACGAATTTTTGGTTATCAAAGGGCATAGAAAAATGAGTCTGTCGCTTCGCTCACAAACAATTAATATACATATAATATATATATATAGTATGTGTATAAAATAAATTTTAATTTATAATTACAATATGTAATATTAAAACTAGTAGTTGTATATATATATCTAATCTGATGCAATGCCAGAAACATTCGTAACGGCAATGTAATTAAAGTACCAGAAGATACATTTGTGCTGCAGTGCCGCAAAGTGAAAACTGTAATTGTCTATTTTCCGAAATTTCATTTAAAAAACGAACTCATCAAATCTGATAAGCTCTCTTTGTAAAATGAAATTTCCGATTTCGCTTTGCGGCTCTCATTTGTGAAAAATGATACGATTTACGAATATAAAAAAAATACATAATCCAAGTCATTGTATGAGTACTGTCGATTAAAATCTAAGTTAATACAGTCAGACCTTTCTAAGTGCACACCCTTGGGACTACACTTTAACGAGCATTTAGAGAATCATAAGAAAAAGTGCATTTATAGAGGCCAAGTACATCTTTGGGTCGGAATTTGAGTGTGCGGGTGTGCACTTACATAAGGTGCACTTAGAAAGGTCTGACTGTATTTTGAATTTTTAATATGTCGGAATTTAATCTCATAAAAAGCTTCGAATTTGGATCCTATACGATAAAATTTAAATATTACGGGAAAGAACATAACGTCGTCGATTATTATTGCATTTTACATTTAAAGATTAATTCGAAGTTGAGTGTTGCATAGTAAAAACCCGTAATTAGATTTGATGATTTATTATGATCAGGTACAGGTTTCACTCTGCAATATCCCATTGATCTTTAACATTTAAAACCTTGTTACGTTCTTAGATTTTATAATATTTATAAGAGCATTATATAGATTAAAATAATAAACACAGTATATATATAGTAAAATTATTGCATGGTCAAAATAGTTTATAGGTTTACCAACTTTATTAACCTAGGTTTGTCGAAATATAAAATTACCTCCACAGTAAAAGCATTTTTCACAAGTTCCAAAAATTGCTTTCACAATTACTGATGACGCAATGGATTGTTCATCCACTTGCCTATAGGGATCTGATGCCGCCAAGATTTTACGATTACAATTACTACAGGATCTTGCGTGCTTATCTGCCACAACGCTTAAAGTTATAGAGCAAAGATCTAAAAAATATTGGAAAAAAGAAGTAAAGAAAAAATATGAATAAAATAAACGACATTCATTCACGCGTTATATTACCCCAAATATGCCCTTTGGTACATCTGCCTGTTGGACCTCGCAAGAATGTTACATGTATTAATTGAATTAAGAATAGTTTTGAAGTTTAAAACTAGTAGAATTAATCACTTTAATAAAGGTATAATAAAATATAAAGGATATTTGACTGACATACAGGACATGATGCTCTTGTTGGTGTCTTTTTAGGTTTATTTTTTTTTGACGAAAGCAATTGTGATGTCCAAATTTTTTCAGATTCCAGATTGCCAAATATCTCAACTTTTTCTTTTAAAGTGCTCAAGTATTCATATAAAAACTTTGCCAATTTTAATAACTCATCATCATCATTAAAGTATGATAAGATCCAGTCACACCAGTAAATAATGAATAGCTGATCACGTTCTAAAAATAAAAAATACAAGCAATTGCTCTAATAATACAATAACACAACACATTTCAATTAATAAACCAAAACCTCACCACTATTGATTACTACTCCACATTTAATACAATCCACAGTAGTAGACAGAACTTGCTTTAAAAAATATTTTTCAATTCTTTTCAAACAATCTTCAAATGCAGGACTTAGTTGTGATTGAAGACCTGAAGGAACTTCTAAGCGCTTCGATATATATTTGCCATGTTTAATAGACAAATATATATATATATAGTGCCTGTATTAAGTATGATAATACTTATACTTACAGTAGTGTTATTATAAATGTGCACGAGCAACCGAAGGGCATTTAAAGAACGATTCCTATAAAGCACATTTTTCCATTTCATGATAATGCTAATTAAAGAAAACTCACTATGTTCAAATTCATCAAATAATAATCAAATATTAATCAGCACTTATATTGTAGACCTTGATATAAGCAAGGTATATTTAATGTTCTTACGTTAAATCTTCTGTGGTATATTCAGCAATTGAAGATGATGTGGTGTATTTATTATAGCAATCCCAACAAGCTTTGTCCATTTGATGAAGCAGTGAATTACTTTTATCGAATTCATTTTCAAGGTCACAATATTCCAATAAATCCCACATAAGATAATTTGTAGATTTTCTTTCTACTGTAAACAAATTTATTTATTCTATTAGCATCATAAATGATATGTCATTCTACTGTATCAAAGCTTACAAATATATGCATCTTCGAGCATGTCTTTAAGCCTCGCGACCAACGAAGGTACAAGTTCATTGCTTGATTGTTCTTCACTTTGGCAAAAAGTCACATAGGAAACTTCATATTTGTCAGTAACATATAAAGCATCAGGCGTCTCTAATCTAGATTTGGTAAAGTTGTAAATAAAATGTGTTTTGGTTGCCCGTCAAGAATCAATTATAAAGGCTAAAAGCTCACGCAAAAAGAACAGCAAAAAAAAGACTGTTGCCAGAGCCATCGGCTCCAAAGTATAAAGGTTCAACTTCTGATAGTGCCATATCATCATTTCCCTCATTTTCATTTGAAAAAGATTCTTCATCAAATTCTTCATCTTCATCCTCATCCTCATTATCCTCATATTGTAATTGCCACTTTGTAGCCAGGACATCATTGATATATTTTGTTGTGGATTCATTAATATCAATCTCTGTTCCTGAGATGTTAAGTGTCAGATTATTACCTTCGTTATTGAAGATATACAATTGAGTTCCATCATAATTCCAAATCATTGCTAATTAAAAAGCACATCTCAGATCAAAGAAATAAAGATAATAAATGAGATAAAAACTTTGCGCAATGAAATGTCACCTATTACTCCTTTAGATAAAGGAATTTTGAACATCTTTGGAGGATCTAAATTTGTATTAATTAAAGGTGATCCCGTTGATGTCCAAACATAGATCTTGAGACCTTTGACTATAGCCAACTTTTCACCTGCATTCTGATATCCATATTATTTGATGTTGATACACATATTTATGCACAAACAATTTAAACATTACGATAGTACATACTTTACACTCATACCATTTCATTATTGATGCAGGTTGATTGTCAGCTTGAGAAAGTGTCGCATGTAGAATGATTGAAGCTTGTATCTTTATATTTTCTATACCCGAAGATATAACAGGAATTAATGATATAGTTACTCTCCACATATAGACCGAACCGTCATCTGATGCAGTCACAAAACTTGATACGTCTTTATCATAAAAATCACAAATATGTGTGGTTAATATAATAATAATAAATTGCTTCCTAATAAATTGAGATCATACATTGATCCTGGTCCAATTCGAGCCAACGCGACCAAGATGATGTTATAATCCAAGAGACATGCGGTTGTATTGTTAAGATATGATCTAGTCCATTTTTATAACTTAATTCATAAATAAATTATCATAAGACAATTTTAGCAGCAAATATCAAAGAAACTCTATATAAAAACACAATATATAATATATACTTGCCTCCATAATGTTACAGTACCAGCCTTACTTCCTATTGCTATTACAGAAAAAGGGTCAAATCTTTCTGGAAAACACAATGGAGACCACGATACAGCTGACATTGGAGCAAATAAATGTATTAAGATATAATATGAAGGAGTATATGAAGGAGTAATGCTTAGAGTTATAGAAAGCATACATATGGATTGCAGCTTATTCAATAGGGTCACATCAGTTATATTTTCAGAGTTTTGTTCTGTGTAATGCTGCATCAATCTAGGTGACATATTTTCAACCTATTATGTAATAAACCGAATAGCTACTTTGAAAGACATGTGCCAAAAAAAAGACTATTGACTAAATTATATAATACCTCTATCCAATCTCTCTGTAAAGGACCATCCTCAGGACCATATATTGCCACATGAAATCTTGATGTTATTGCAACAAATAAGCAACTGCGTGTAGAATGGCATATAAATAATCAATTCATCGGCATTATTATCTTAAACACAAAAAAATTGAGCAAATACCTTTGAATAATAGAACAACCTATTGGAGACCAAGTAAAGCATTTAAAAACTTCTGGTATGTCTTTTATAAGTTTGGAACTAAAATCTGAAATTTTATAAGAGGATCAATAAGTTTTGTATATGCAAAGTAATTATTACCATGAATGAGGATTACCGTTAATCTTGATAGGATTTCGGTCACTAGAATCTTGGCAAGCTACTATAGCATCACGAGTATACCTGCTTCTATATAATGGTATCTACAGAACAATAAGACTAATTATAACGATAACATTCTGAATTTTCGTCATTTTATTGATACTTACAAAAATATCTATGCCTGAGGGTGATATAACCGAAATGTTATTCTCTTCAGACCATTGTAGACAATTGATGTTAATTGGTCGCGATTTTATATCAACGTTCTTCAACTCCATGTTTCCGGAATTATGAAAAAGTAACCAAATATTCGTGTTTTTATAAAGTAATTCCGGTGTCACAATAGATCGACAAGGTGTTACAGAATGATTTTTTGAAATCCAAAAATTATTCTAATCCGAACCTTAATAAACTCTCTCTAATCCGAACTTAAACTCTAGAACATTTGTAAATTTTATTATAAAGTTCGGATTAGCATATAATACCTCTTTGAGAACTGAACTTTTTGACCAATTTTGCATATAAGAACGGACGGTTCGGAATAGACAGAGTTGACTGTACGTAGATATCTTTCTATGCCAATTTAATGATTCAGTGCTTAAAAACAGTTCAATTTTTCACACGAAGAATCAGTAGTAAGTGGGAACAGAATTTAAGCGGATTTGGATTTCTTAATAAAATTATAGAATCCTAAAACCTTAAGAAATTCCAAGTTCCATTCCCACTTACAAGATAAAAGCAAAAGGTTTTTTCCAAATAACATGTAATTCATCAAGATTATACGTATTCAACCAAAAGTTAAATCTAAGTTACAATAAAATCCTTATTTTTTGAAATAAGAATAACCAAAGGGTTGGATAATTTGTGAAATACAGTATTTTTTAATTATAACCTTGAATAAATCAAATAAAAAAAGAAATAAAAAGGAATTGTTTATACTGATTGTTTAGGCGACTTGAAATTAAAACCTCGTTTAACGTTATTTTTTTTCGTATTTATAGAGAGGGGGGAGGGATGAAAATTAAACAAACATAAAAATTAAACATAGTGTATCGAGAAATCCCGACGTAAACCGAAAAAA